GCCACCACGTACTCTGTGAGACCAAGCACAAACAAGCACAGCGGGTTCGTGAGGAAGAACGGTCTCCGTGCAAGCCACTCGGACACAAGATGGGGGCGGGACGGAGGAAGGGGCACAGAGGGCTCACAAAGATGGTCAAGTGTCACTGCCAGCGCGCGCACACACACGTGCACGCACAGCAGGGCAAATCAAGCGATCACATGCATGTACAGGAGGGCAAATCAAGCGATCACATGCACCAATGTTGAGGCGATCCAGCATGGCCATGAGGGTGCGTTGCATGTCACGGCTGACGTGCAATGCCCTTCTGCTGGCCTTTCTTGCTTCGTGGACTTTTCCTTGCTTGCGGAGCTTGAGCGCCTCCTCTCTCGCGGCCCTGTAACATCCACAATCCATGACAAAGAACGGTGCGTGAGCATGACAAGCGTTGGCTGCAGGGCGGTTGCAGCTCTGCTCTTGAGCAATCACAGGCAGGTGTTCTTACTTTCGTTGGCGCTGACGGCGCGCGTTTTCCTCTGCTTTGGCGGCGAGGGGAGCGCCATCAAACACCACGACAGGTGTGATTCCGGCTGTCGTCAGGAGGGCGAGCCTCTTGAAGACAAATCTGCAGCGTTGACACGCATGTCACAGAGTGAGTAGTAGAAGCACGGAAGCAGCAGGCAGCAGGCAGCACAATGTGGCAGGGCTGGCATGCATGTACAGGCGTGGGGTGATGGTGTGTGTCGTACCTGTAAGGACGTACGTCCTCGGCGTTGCGCAGCAGTTCCAAGGACCTGGAATAGCATCCTGTCAAGTGCATCGATGTGAGTAGATAGAAAGGAGGAAGGGAAGGGAAGGGTGTTCGAGATCATGTTTGAGGGCGATCCAGGAGGGCGACGCAATCAAGCAGGCAGAGCAACCAAGCAGGCAGAGCAACCAAGCAGGCAAACCCCTTACCCTTATAGGCAAAGGATGATATGTCAATGTCAATGGCCACGCGTTGGCCAGTGAACCTTTCAAGGTTCACTGTCTGTACCACGGGGCGTACCAGGTTGATCAGTCCTGGTCGCTCACACACACACAGGCAACAACGCAAGCACACGCGAAAACACGTGCGCAAGCTACCCAGACCCAGGCGTAAAACTGCTGAGTCAGCAAAAATGGAGAAGCGAGCACAATTTCGTGAGGACAACGATGATGAACGCAGCCGCGCGGCGCAACGGGTAAGCGAAAACAAGATTGGAGATGGGCAAGGGGAGAGGGGAGGTGGGACAAGGGCGAGGAGAGAGGGGAGATGGGAGATGGGAGAGGGGAGAAGGGAGACGGGAGACGGGAGACGGGAGATGGAGACAAGGCCCCGTGCCGTCACAAAATACGATGGCCGCAGAACACCGATGGGGTGCCAACGAACAGCAAACATCTGCAAGGTATGCTGTTACAGGAAGGGGAGGGGGAAGAGGACATGGATGGATATTGGGATATTGGGCAAAGGCGTACCTTTTGTTGATGCTTGGGTGAGGCGGGGAGGGGGGAGGCGAGTGCGGAAGAAGAAACCGGGCGCTGCTGGAGATAGCTGAGGAGAGGGTGACGGGGGGGGGAAGCGAGAGAAGGAGAGAGGAAGATGGTGAGTCGAGGATGCATGATGCTGTCAGCGTACAGATGTGCGGGCGGTGCTCATGCGCTCTTTCACACACTCACACCACGCACACGCACGCTCACACACACACGCAGGTGCACAACCATGCCTGGCGTCATCCTCACTCACACACACACACACACACTCTCTCTCTCTCACACACACACACACACACACACACACACACACACACGCACACGCACACACACACACAGGTGCACAATACAGGTGCACAATGACGACGGCGTCATCCTCACTTACACGCAGGCGCAGACGAGCGGGAAAATGAATGTGGCACAGGTGAGTGAGTGTGTTTGTTGTGTTGCAGTCTGTGCGATCGTTCGCACACGCACGTGTGTCTGCAATTGTATGTGTGTTTCGTCTCCCAGCCCCAGTTATGCAACAGGCACGTGAGTGTTTCGTCTTCGTCTCCCCCCCCCAGTTATGCAACAAGCACGTGCGTGTTTCGTCTCCCCCCCCCACCAGTTATGCAACAAGCACGTGCGTGTTTCGTCTCCCCCTCCCCCATGTTTCGTCTCCCCCTCCCCCAGTTATGCAACAGGCACGTGCATGTTTCGTCTCCCCCTCCCCCAGTTATGCAACAGGCACGTGCATGTTTCGTCTCCCCCTCCCCCAGTTATGCAACAGGCACGTGCATGTTTCGTCTCCCCCTCCCCCAGTTATGCAACAGGCACGTGCATGTTTCGTCTCCCCCTCCCCCAGTTATGCAACAGGCACGTGCATGTTTCGTCTCCCCCTCCCCCAGTTATGCAACAGGCACGTGCATGTTTAGCGCCACGCAACACACACACACACACACAATCACACACACACACACACAATCACAGGTGCCACGCCGAGAAGTTGGCACGGCACGAGTAGCTCTGCGGTTCCGTGAGCGGCCAGCGGGCGGTTGCGCTGGACATTGTGTGCATGTACGAGCAGCCGCGATGGCTGACGGTTGAGGAGTCGCGGGAGCTGCTGGAGAAGGAGGCGGTGGCGCTGTCGCACACAAAGGCGGAAAAGGCGCGGAGCAAGGCACGCAAGGAGGCAGAGCAGGAAGAGGATGAGGATGATGAGGATGGAGATGAGGATGGTGAGGATGATAAGAAGGACTCCAAGAAGACAGGGAAGAAGAACAACAAGGGCAAGACAAAGGGCAACAAGGTCAGGGGCAACAAGCACAGCAAAGACACCACCAGCACCAACGACGACGATGCAAATGGCGATGATGACGAGGATAAGAAGAGCGAAGGCGATGTGCTGGAAAGTGAGCACGACACAACTCGACGGCCCGTGTGACATCATGCATCTCCTGCGAACAGCAGAGGCGCTTCCCCTCACTCTCCATGCCCACAGGTGAGCTTGTGCGTGTGTGTGCGTGTGTGTGTGTGTGTGTGTGTGTGTGTGTGTGT